ATATATATATATATATATATATATATACACACACACACACACACTAGAGCCACGCGCGCGCTTCGCGCGCTTTGGTTCTAGCGCAGTCCAAGCCAACCCCACAGGATCTGATGAGGATTGACATCATCCCACAAGGATCGCCATATGGGAACGTACTTCCTGATGGACGAGCCAGGAGTCGCTAAATAAGGCTCCAGGAAGTCGCGCATGGCAGCCGCGAGGAGGACCCAGGTCAGCTTAAGGGGGGGGAGGGGGGGCCGAGAGCCCCTTAGAGCCTGGCAAGACCATGTTGGGAATCTCTTCGGATGAATTTGGGGGGACGTTCTTGGAAGGCTCTTGGAGGTTTCTGGGGGGTGGGGCCTCTTCGGCTTTTGTTGGGGGTCTCCTGGTGGTCTCCTGGGACTTTTTGGGTGCGCCTCGGGGACCTCCCCCGGGTTCTTGGCGTCTGGGCTCGAAATGTCGGTCTGGATTCCCGCCCTCGCCCCTGTATAGGGGCCGTTTTTCAAAACAAAAAATGCTGACAACCTGGCATGTTGCATGGACGAAAGTGCTGCCTACATCTGTCCGATGTTCGCTGCTACGGGGTGGCGCCACCACGACGCCATACATCGCCACGGGCAGACCTGTCACTTGGCGGAGGCGCCGCAGGTCGGCTATAATCATGAGCTGCACTGCCACATCATTATTAGAACCACGCGCGCGCTTCGCGCGCGCGCTTAGGTTCTAGTGCGGCCCAGCTCTCGACAACAACACATTTGCGCACATGTCAACACCCGCATGCGGATTGAACCTTGCGAATGCCAAAGAAGGAAACCTCCGAATGCCAATGGCAAGGACACCTTCCGAGTGCCAACGAAGGAAGCCTCATCACAGGCACTCTGTCCCCGTCCCACTCATAAGTTTATTTCTCCAAGGGCTGTTCCTCCTCCTCCTCCTCCTCCTCCTTCTTCTTTTCCGTTTCCGCTTCCGCCTCATCACCACCATCATTCCCTCTGAGACCTTCTCCTCCTCCGCCTCCTCCTTTTCCTTTTCACCAGCCTCATCACCGTCACCTCGCCACCCCCGTCGTCGTCGTCGCTGCGGCCTGCTCCTGCTCCTGCTGACACGCGTTCTATTAGAGCTGTTCAAGCCTCTTCCTTTCGTACGCTCGAGCCCCCCCCCTCCTGCCACTCGTCGTCCGCGCCAGCGCCTCCCAATATTTCTTTTCATCGCCGTCTTCGTTTTCTCCTCGTCCTCCTCCTCACAAGACGGCCCAAGAGACCTCCTCCTCATTATCCTTCTCATTCCCCTCCTCCTCCTCCTCCTCCTACTCCGTCTTTTCCTCCTCCTCCTCCTCCTGGTCCTCCTCCTCATCCTGTTCCTCCAATTCCTCCTCATCCTCCTCCTCCTCCTCCTCCTCCCTCTCTTGATGCCCCTCCAATCCTCCCCAGAAAGTTACCCGAAGAGATTCCAGAGCGGCCGGAGTAATACATATGTGCTCTGATAAGTTGAGTGGCCTCTTGGGGTCCTCTTGAGTTTTCTGGGGAAGCGGCTCGCCGTCTTCGCCGTGGCCGTCGCCGTCGCCGTGGTCGCTGTCGTCGTCGGTTTCGTCGCCGTTGTTCCTATCGTCGACGTCATCGTCGGGTGGTTTGGGGCAGCGCTGAAACCAATCACAAACCGAAAGGAACAAGTTGATTGTTTGGTTCGTTTGCCGCTCATAGCGCCCGTCGTCCCATCCAGCCACCGTACCTCGGTCTTGCGTCAGAAGCCTCTTAGATGCCCGTTGTAGTCTCTCGGAAGCCTCTGGTCAGCCTCGAGGCGGCAATTCTGAAACCTAATGGGGCCTCCTGGGGACCGTGTGTCCGGTCGGGGTCTCTTGGGGGCGTCATGGAAGCCTGTCCTCTTGCGAGGAGTTGGGAGGCCTGGCCTGGCGGCAGTATCGGGGGTTCTCTTGGGGCGGAGGGCTCGAACTGTCAGTTCGAGCTCCCCCATCTTGAGCCTCTCTTTGGGGCCCTCGTCGGGCGCTCCACTCCCCCGGAGTGCCAGCGGCATATCGATACCTGATCTTTCTGGCGGTCTGCGGTGCACTTGGCCGTACTGCATAATCGAATCCTCCATCGATGCGTCTTGAGATTGAGAGTGAAAGTGCAAGAATAGAGCAAATAGTAAAGACAATGAGAAGATGAAATAGCAATTGTTTTGCCAGCGCTGCACAGATGCGTGTTGGTCCCGTGTGTGCGGAACCGGTGCTTGAGCCAGAGGCGCGCGATGCATTGTGCTCCGCCTCTGCCGCATGCTGCTGCACTTACCTATGCTACTGCTGATGCTACACCCAACGCTTATTCCACTTCGTGGGATTGTTGGTGCAGAGCCAGTGCTTGCACGACGCAAACTCTACAGCGCGTCCCTGCTGCTCAACACCCGGACTCCATGTACCAGGGCTTGATTCGGGAATTCCAGGTCCAGGGGCAAGTTCGCAGCTTGGGCCATGGGCTGCGCATTCCCAGCTTCGTGGATCACTCAGAATGGGTATGTGTGCGTACTCCGGGCTTGGTGGGACATGAACGTTCGTCATCGGCAGGCGGCTTACGATGCACGCGCGGTGGTGTCGGCAGGCTTGGAGGCGCTCGGGGACCAGGCATCAGGAGTGACACCAGGGACGATTGCACCATTTCTGGACGGCCCCGTCGGTTCGGTACTTGGGGCCTCGCCCATGGTGTCCAGCCTCGTGATGTTAGGCGGCTGGGTGGCACGGAGACGGCGTCAGTGATGCGACGGTGCAGGGTATGGCGTGGAGAATGTGATGGTTGACTCTTGGGGTCGTCTTGAGGTCTCCTGCGTTTTGCCCACCCGGAGCTTCCAGATGCAGTGAGGGGTGTTTTCTCCAATTCGGCGGGGGTCACGCGCGTGGGTGGGCACGCAAGGTTTGTTCTGATAAGCAGTGGCGGGGATCACGCTGCACGCAGGGCTTCAGTAGCAGTTCAGAGTAGCAGGGATGCGGGATTCAAGAGGTATCCGAGGCATCTGGTTCCAAGGTTAGGCCGGCGCTCAAGCACCGTGCAGGTGCGCAGAGATCTCGCTTTGTTTCCAGACGCTTCGTATATGTGCTGGTCTGTGTAATCATCCTCTCATTCTTCACGTTCTACCTCTTCCAGGTTCCAGCTCATTCTTTTGACCACCAAGGGGGACATTTCGCCGCCAAACCGGGCCTTGCTTTCGGGGGCGTGCGGTTTTCGAGCTTGTACTACGTGATCTTGCTCCTACGTGTTATCCATACTCTATATTCTCGGTTCCTTGCATATTCCGTCAAGCTGATGTCGTTGCATTGGCCATCCTTGTCAGGGAAATCATTGGCGACAGCTCGTCAGGTCACCTCGCCCGTGCAGCACCTCCTCGTGAAGAACATGACCGGCGTTGAAGCAGACATGTTGCTGTCGTTTGTGTGGTCGCAGGTGTTCGCCCACCCCTCGGCACTCAACCAGGCGTGCTAACTACTTCACACACTACTTGGTTTTCCGGGCCGTCGTTCGAGGCATACTTCGAGGGTCATGGCCCATTTGTTCCTCATAACGGGAATCAAGAGACTATCGATTGCGGTGCAGTCACGGCGAACACCTAGATGGGCCATACGTGTGTTACGAATGCTACCTCCTGGGTGGCATGCGCAAGCTGAGCTGGTAGATAGCGCCTGGTGCACATCGGCGCGACAATTATGTGACGGCCAGGTCCCAGCGCAGGAGTGCATCAGTGGTCCTTCAGGCAGTTATTCGATGGTGTATGAGATGTTCAACCATGCCTCAGTCTACATCGGCAAGGCCAACGTCCATCGGGTTGGCGGCCCAGGCTGGCCGGCACGAATTGGGGAACACCTTCGTGGTATTCTAGATCCGGGGACACGTGATGGAAAACGTCCTCGGTACCACCTGATGCGCCGCAGTATTGGGTCTGTATGCTTTTTGCCGGTCTTGTGGACCTTGTCTGAATGCAGGGCTCTTGCATTCGAGAGTATTGGCATCAAGTTTGAGGCGCCTGAGGCCAATGTCAGGGATTTGAGGTTTGAAGAGAAGGCCCAGGATATTCCAGAAAGGGTCCGCTTTCGTGGAAAACGGCGCCGACCATCTTCTTGGCGAAGGCGCCAGGCTCGTGCGGATTCTTGTCCAGGCAGGCTGTGGGAGAGTCTATGGGGAAGAGCTTTTGCTTTGGATGCGGTGGACCGGCGAGAAACACAACGGGAACATCGTCCAGACCTCACAGGTGCTTTACGCGAGAGTGGCCCTTACTCGCATGTGTACCGTAACCAGCAGCAGGAGATCTTTGCGACCACTGGACTCCATGGGCCCCTCTGGCTATTTCATTCTCATCGTGTTTTGTTGTTTGTCACCTATTTGGCGTCAAGGCCATTGCTTGTAGCACTACCTCAATGGCGTCGAGAACGGTTGGCGAACTTCTTGTACTTGGCGGCCGACGTGGCGAACCATTTTATACGCAGCGCGCACCGCCGGAGGACAGCAAGAAAGAACTTGGACTACTTGCTTCGTAAGTTCCGCTTGCCTTTGGTGGTGCCTCCGCTACTCCTTCCAGCTTGTTTTCGGGCCGCTCGGGCACGGGGTCAAAATAGGCGGCTCATCAAGTTAGCGATCCAGGAGGTGCACAGCTTTGCGGCTCGCGGCTGGCTCTTGAGGCATTTCCGAGTATCTTACGGGAAGATCAACAGGTGGGCCGACGTCGTCAACGCCAACAAGATATTCCGGGACGCTTCTCACCCTATGCCGGATTATGTCCAAGGAGAGCCGCTGTTGGCACCGACGACCCTTCAGTCTTGCGACGCTCCGTGGTCGTTGCCCCGATGGCCGACTTCTAGATCAGCGTTGGGCGGCTTATTCGCTGGATGGGATTCTTGGGCTCGCAGGTGCATGCTGCCAGCGTCGGTGAAGGCTCGTGGTAAAGTTGCACTTCAAAGTTATTTGCCAACCATTGCATGGCCGTCGCGACCTCCAGCTTGGGCAACAGTGGAACAGTCTATGGAAGCGTGGCTGGAAGTGCACCGGGGCGCAACTCTGCTAGGTGATGACAGACGACATGATCGTATCTGGGCGTGTGATTCTTCCCAGGCTTTCGATTACATCCTGAGTGCGGTCGTGACGGACCCAACGTGGACATATCTGCCTGGAGTATCGGATGTGGATTTGCGGGCGTGGCAGTATGGAAGAGCACGCGCTGGCTTGCCGGCTTTCTTGCAGAAGGAGGTTTGCAGGGACCCAGTTGCCACGAGCTCGTGCGCTCCTCACACATTCCCGTTGGTTAAGAGCAAGTGCTTCCATAATCATACGGGTTCGAGGGTATGCCAGAAAGAATTCCACTCGTGCTGGCGCAGGGTTGTGGATGCATCGCGGTCGCTTGGTAAGAACGGATGGCGATTACTGGGGCGTGGTGTCAGGGGCGTGCTGCAGGCAACGGGGATTTCGTGCGAGTTGTGGGCATTACGCGATGCTGCGCTGGAAGTGCGGCGCATGGAGGACTCGCTGACAGCGCCCCCAACGCGCAGCTGTCGAAGGTGCGGGGTTGACATGTGCGGTCGTCTTCAGGCTGTGTGTGCTGACGCAGACCAGGCGTTCGAAGCTTGCGACGCTCCGCCGGTGATGGGGCATTGGGAAACCGTGGCAGAACAGTACGTGAAGGCGACGGGCGAGGAACACATATCAGTCATGAAGGGCCGGCGGTTCGATGCACGTCCTGGTCAGCAAGCTGCCGGTGCAAGTTGGTTGGTATTCACGCTGGGTGATCTTCAACGGGCGATTGCTTCGTTCACCGTGATGTCCTTAGTGTGCGTTGTTGGTCACGCATTCTCGCTCAAGGGGATCCCCATTGGAGGCGTGATGTCTGGCATCTGCGTGGCGGTATCCATTGGCGCACAGGAGTACAAGTGGAGACGCAACAATGAGAAGCACAGGCAGAACGGGTACACCTTCGAGCCGCATGGCATCGACAAGTGCATTGTGTGGAGGCGGTATGTTGACGATGTGTTGATATGTTCTCGACGTTATTGCCGGAAATGCCTCATCGAATTCCTCGGCGCTGGGATTCAGGTCAAGTTCGCACCCACGGGGCCTTTAGCTCCAGATGCTGAGTCTGTTGGGGTATGGCTTGATGTGCAGCTGTACGTGAGTGGCCAGTCGTTGACCCTGTTGCCCAAGAGCGTGAACAGGGACTGGCTGTACACGGGTGCGCCAAGGGAGAGCGCTTCAATACTACCGTGGTTTGGGAAGCTACCTGGAGGATTTCATGCTTTACGCAATCTGTTTCTATATCGGCTTCGCCGTGGCCGCGACCTCCAGCTTTCCTTCGATTGCGGTGTGTTTTGGGTCGGGGAGCTGATTTTGGAATTATTTCTTCTGTCATATCCTGTTGCCGTTATCCGGGCTGCTGTCCATTCTTTGCCTTGCAGCCCTCCTGCCCGAGCTGCGAGGAAGCTCGTTCGCGAGCTGCACGTCCAAGCCCGGGCCGCAGCCATGGACCGACGCGGACGCTCCGGCGGCGGCCCGCCAGGCGGGGGCGCCAACCACGGAGGGTACGGGCCAGGGCGCCGTTACGACAGTCAGCGTCGGGAGCATGACTGGAGGACGATGGTTACCATCGCGACTCCGGCAGCTATCGTTCCCAGCATTACGACGGTCGGCATGAAGATGGCCGCGGAGCATCGAGTCGCCGCGACAGCCATGGTTGGCGGCGCCCGCGTTCATGCACTACCTCCAGCTCCGGGGACGAGGAGGAGAAGCGGATCCGCAAGAAGGAGCGGCGTCTGCGCAAGGCCAAGGAGCTCCTCCTGGCGGAAGACGCCCTGTACCGCGCTTGGCATGAAGACCATGAGCGCCGCAAGTCAGAGGAGGCCTTGCGCGCCCAGGGACAGGCATTTGCATCGGCTTTCAACGAGAAGCTTGAAGAGCTGACCAAAGCAGTCCGCAGCGGGGCCGGCGCTGGAGGAGGAGAGGCGGCGGCGCCTGCCGCCGAGCCAGTCCAGGACGACAAGTGGAGCAGCCTACGCATCCGTTGGCTCGCAGCGGAGTTGGGCGGCAACGTGGAGTTCCCGAGGGAGGCCAACAACAATGCCAAGATCATCGAGGTCGTCACGTCAGAGGCTCAGAAGAACAAGGATGTCCGCGACGCTATCCAGGAGCTCCTGCAGAACAACATGGCTGGCAAGCCGATTCCCCGTGCCATCGCGTCCAGGACCAAGATGCTGGTGGAGTGGGCCGCAGAAGCCTGAGTCACCACGCCTGCTGCGACACCTACCAAGACGAGCAGGCCAGCTGATCCTGGGAGGCACAATTCTGTTTGGATCTACTGCTCAGTTTTCGCAGCTTGGGCCATGGGCTGCGCATTCCCAGCTTCGTGGATCACTCAGAATGGGTATGTGTGCGTACTCCGGGCTTGGTGGGACATGAACGTTCGTCATCGGCAGGCGGCTTACGATGCACGCGCGGTGGTGTCGGCAGGCTTGGAGGCGCTCGGGGACCAGGCATCAGGAGTGACACCAGGGACGATTGCACCATTTCTGGACGGCCCCGTCGGTTCGGTACTTGGGGCCTCGCCCATGGTGTCCAGCCTCGTGATGTTAGGCGGCTGGGTGGCACGGAGACGGCGTCAGTGATGCGACGGTGCAGGGTATGGCGTGGAGAATGTGATGGTTGACTCTTGGGGTCGTCTTGAGGTCTCCTGCGTTTTGCCCACCCGGAGCTTCCAGATGCAGTGAGGGGTGTTTTCTCCAATTCGGCGGGGGTCACGCGCGTGGGTGGGCACGCAAGGTTTGTTCTGATAAGCAGTGGCGGGGATCACGCTGCACGCAGGGCTTCAGTAGCAGTTCAGAGTAGCAGGGATGCGGGATTCAAGAGGTATCCGAGGCATCTGGTTCCAAGGTTAGGCCGGCGCTCAAGCACCGTGCAGGTGCGCAGAGATCTCGCTTTGTTTCCAGACGCTTCGTATATGTGCTGGTCTGTGTAATCATCCTCTCATTCTTCACGTTCTACCTCTTCCAGGTTCCAGCTCATTCTTTTGACCACCAAGAGAGAGGGGAGAGAAGATATTGATACTCTGCAATCTTACAGGGGGGTACGATTTGTCCGCCCCAGCGCGTTCTCATAAGCGCTGGGCAAATTGAGCCCGATCTGAACTCTCACCAAACAGGGATGGCCTCCGAACGTGCTCATGCGCGCGCGCTGGATTAATACATCCTCTGGTGCGCCTGCGCTATTACACATGCGCAAACAAGATGACGCAACTCACATGTGGCGAACTATCGTGGTACAAACTTCGGTCGGCCGTCCCTTGAGGTCTGCACGTCGTCTCTAGTCGGGGAGACGTCAGACTCGGGTACGGGGGACTCGGGTTGGCCTGACGGAGACATCATGAAAATGACGAGGTCCAACCTGAAATTGAACGCGAGCTCCCGCTGCAAACCTCCCACGAAAACAGGACCGTCAACCTCCAGGACGCGCTCGTCAAAAAACTTCGGCAACCCTAAATTCTGGCTTACTCGAGCCCTACGTTTCCCCGCTTTTTTCCCTCCTGACAAACATCCGGCGCTCCAACACCGCCGGGGACGGACCCTGGTCCATCCTCTTGGGCGCGCCCTGGGGTTCTCTTGGGCCGTTTTGGGGGGCCCATTGGGGGGCTGTTTCGGGGCCTCTTTTGGTATTTTTTCAAGTCTCTTGGGGGCTTCTTGGGGTTTCTTGGGCGTTTCTTGGGCGTTTCTTGGAGCCTCTTGGGGTCTCCTGGGGGCCTCTTGGGCCAAAACGCTCGAATATTCAATTCCTCGTCCCCGTCTTGGGCGTCGACTCGGGGCGTTCTTGGGCGGTTTGGGCGCCTCGGGGGCCGTCTTGGCCCCCTCGTGGGCCGTCTTGGAGCCATCTTGGGGGCATCCTCGACCGGCTTGGGTGCCTCTTGGGCCGTCTTGGACGCAGTGGAAGCCCAAAAGGCAAACACCGCCAAACAGATCAGTTGTCCCATAGGAAATCGGCGACTTTTGCTTACTGGGGCTATATTGGGGTGCCCCTTGGGGCGTGTTCGGGGACTCTTTTTGTGTTTTTGCGGGTCTCTTGGTGATCTCTTGGGGTTTCTTGGGCGTTTCTTGGAGCCTCTTGGGGTCTCCTGGGGGCCTCCTGGACCAAATGGCTCACATTTTCAGTTCCTCGTCCCCGTCCTTGGCGCGCCTGGGCCTCGTGCGCGGGTATATATATATATATATATATATATATATGTGTGTGTGTGTAAATAGAGAGAGAGGGTGTGAAATGTATACACATGTATCTAATTAGATACATATATGCATGCATGTATGTATGTATGAATGTATGTATGTTTGTTTGTATGTATGCCCGTACATATGTATGCATGAATGTATATGTATACACAAATGCATATGCATATGCATATACATATACATATACATATACATATACAAATACATATACATATACATATACAGAAACATATACATATACATATACATATGCATATAAAAATACATATACATACACATATACATACACATATATATATATATAGAGATAAACAAACACAAAACACATATACATATGCATATACATATACAAATACATATACATATACATATACATATACATATACATATACATATGCATATACACATACACATACACATACACATACATATACATATACATATACATATACATATACACATACATAAACATAAACATATTCATATACATATACATATACATATACATATACAAACACATATACATATACATATGCATATACATATACATATACATATACATATACATATACATATACATATACATATACATATACATGTGCATATGCATATACATATACATATACATAGATATATACATATACATATACATATACGATGTATGCCTATATATACACACGCATACACATGACCCTGTGCCCCGTCCTGCTTTAAATATACTACCTGGCGGGGAGGGGGCGGGGGGGGGGCAGCGCCATTACACGAGTGTCGGCATCTCTGGCCCCTCGGACACCCATGCAGAACGCCCACATTAGTCTTCCGAGCCTCCCAGACGCCCCTGACAGGCCCAGAGGTCAAGCCCTAAAGCGGTGAGAAAGGTGGCCAAACGGCCCCGCGAGAGCCCCAGGCGGCCCCACTATCAAAAAAAAACCGAAGATGCATCAACGAAGACCCGCAAGAGACCCTTCACATTGAAGACAACCCTTTCCCAACAAATTGTTGTATGAGTCGGCGACGCATGTGACTTCGGTTTCCTCGGCTTCCGAGACCGCCGAAGAGGCCCTCATGCCCCAGAACACCCTCGTCCACCTCAGGTGTCTCCGCATGTCCCAGATTCGCTCACTCGTTGGAGAGGCATGACGCCATGACCAACCAGGGCGGAGAAAATGACCTCTGCAAGCAATGTAGAACACCCCACCCCCATCTGAGCATCTGAGCATCCCCCGTCACACTTTCCCTACCACCACGACCCCAGACCACCAGCACCACCACCACCACCACCACTTCCCACCCACCCACCCACCCACCCACCCACCCACCCACTCATCCTTACTTCCTATGATTAAACACCCCCACATCCCTACCTAGCCGGCCGATAGCAATCCCGCCGTCCTAACTGTCAAAAAACAACGCAAGCTCAACGTGTGTCTCGCCAACGGAATGAACATCGCTTGGGTCACCCCAAGCGGGTGGCCGCGTCCTGCCCATAAAAAACAATGCAACGTCAACGTTTCTCTCGTCAACGTGGACTTTTTTGTCGTCGACGTTGCGAAAAATGTAGCACGAATGGGACGCGGCGCACATCGAGCATGGACGCCTGCCCAACCCTACGCAGGACCCCCCGTCCTACCTGTCAAAAAAACACTGCGGCGTCGACGGTTTGCATGCCAACATGTATTTTCTCCTCGTCGGCGCTGCGAATCGCGTAGCGGGAATGGGACGCGGCGCACATCGCGCGGGGACGCCTGCTCGTCAACATGGATTTTCTTGTCGTCGACGCTGCGGCCAGTCGGATTGAAGAGCTGTGCGGGGGCCGCGTCAGAATGCCTCTGGCTAGTGCGGTTCAAGCAAGTGCCTCAAGAGACCCCCAAGAGGTCGAAAAAAGGCGCCCAAGAGGTCCTGGAGGGCAACACAAATATTGATTTGCATGTGGTGTTTGACGGATTGTCCAGCCTGGAAGATATATCCAAGAGGCCCTCAGGCGTATACCATAAAGTTCCAAGGACTCCCCGCGAACTCCCAAGAGGCATTCTCCTCTTCCTTCTCAGTTTCTCCCTCCCTCCCTCTCTCCCCGCCCCTCCTCCTCCTCCTCCTCCTCCCCCTCCTCCATGCGCGGCAGGAGCGAAACTATTGGCGGTACAACACGCGGGGCTGGAATGAGACGCGGCGCACTTCGCGCGCTGGACATATTGTCGCCGACGATGCAACATGAGAGGCCGGAGCGGGGCGCGGCGTACATCGCGCGCGGTCTTGCTTGTCGTCGACGTTGCTCAACACGCGGCAGGAATATGACGCAGCTCTTGTCGCGCGCTGAATGTCGAGCCGCCCACGATATAAGATGAGCGGCAGGTGTCGGACGCGACGCATTTGCTTCTTATGTTGTGGGAGGGCCGGTGGGAGTGGACAGAGCCCTCTGGCTCGTTCGAGCTGGCTAACTGACCCCACCCCACCCCGCCCCACCCCACCCACGCACGCACCCAAACAACCGAATACACGACGCGGAGGTAGATCCACAGATGTGCGCTCCAATTCCTGGTATTCCCGCCTGTGTGTGCATGAGGCGACTGAGCGTGCCCTGGCGGTTTCCCCTGGAGTGTCCACACGTTATGCCTGCTACATCGACATGAGCTTGGAACTATGGAAAAAAAGAGTCTGGGGTGCCTCAAGCAGCGTGCCACCGAGAGGCACCCCGAGCTTGGCGCGAACTGGCAAGTGTAGCGCCCCGCATGGCATGCATGCTACATCGCAGTGATCAGGGTGTTCCTAAAAGAGACGAGTCTGGGAGGAGGGGCAAATAAAAGGCAAACCGCATGCGGCATCCCCATGATCTGGGCGCGAACGGACAAGTATCCCCCTCCCTGACGGTTCCTGCCTGGGTGCCCAAGGGCCGTACCAGCTATGCCGCGTGAACAGGGGACTCCCAAAAGAGATATGACTTTCTTGTTGCTTCTCTGTTTGCGGGGGGGGAGAACGCAAACCGACAAACTGCTTGAGGCATCCCCACAA